GTAGTAGTAGTTTAATGCAGGTATGGGACTGCAAAACTATTACGAGCAAGCTACACATTCAGATATTCTGCACTAGTCTGCTGGTCTGTTGCACAATCCTAGGTGTATAGGTTTAATGTGGTATTGAATATATGTAGCTTTTCTGAAAAAATGTAGCAGCATGCTATGTTGCTCTTGTTCTTAATTAACTCCTGGTAACAGTGGTATCTTATATAGCTGCTGTTTAGGTAAGACATTTGGACCAGCCCGTCAAGAATCAAAGTACCAGAATTTGTTACAACTCTACCACATCAAACTGTATGAAATGTATTGAATAGATAGTTGCACATGTTGCTGTAGCCATTGTACTACAAGACGTCTGTGGAGTGAAAAGGGATGTGTATTTGGGGATGAAATGAAGAATATTTCAAATAAGTGCTTAAGTTTTAATACTGTACTGTATTTTAATAACCTATGCAGGACAGCGAAAGAAAAAAGGATTGTGATATAATGTTGTCAGCTTGTTCAGGAGATTAGAAGACTGTGTTTAATCAGGTTCTGTTTAATGTCTTCAGCCAGGGGGGCTTAAGCAGGAGGTTGTGTTTGACTAAGAAAATGTTTGCCCCAGTCTGGACAGCTGGGCTCCTGGTAGATAAACTGGTTGGAGATGCTTACGGAGGGATAAGAGGATTTAGTGCCACAATTGATCAGGCATCAAACTCTTTTAGAAATAAATGAATGTACAGTATTCTTCAGTGGATTGGGTGATGGAAGGGAGGGTACTTTGGAGGGGGGTGCATGGATTAGGTTGTTTAATCTACCTAATGTATGTTCTATATTTAGTAACTTAATAAAATTATATTTGCTTTCTATTGTTTTGCAATCTGAGGCTCTTAGATTAAATTAATTGCTCTAATCATTATTATGATATTATGGACAATTTGGTAATTATTCAGATGCAAACTATAGTAAAACTGTTAGTCACTTGCTTCTGTCTTACTATTAGATTTAAAATGTAAGCTATTAATAGATTATTATTATTATTGACTATGTATATCATAATATCATAACAATATCAGCATATTGAAAGTTTGTCACATTTAAGCAATCAAGATTTCTGATGTAACAGCATTTTCCACCTTTGTTAGGTTGTGTTTCTAAAAACTAGGTCTGTCTTCATTAATACTTGTGGCTGGAATAAATCCAATGATCTTTTGTTGTTCTGCATTTGATAGCATCAGTGTTCTCTTGGAAGTGTCAGTATTTCCACATTTTATCTTCTTGAACCTTCTCCAAAGATAATTTTAGGAGACTGCATTTCAATGCTTATAAAATGTCTCCCAAAAATGACTTGTGTAATGATGTATTTTAAGAATATCACATTGAAGTGAAGGATACAGGAGAAGTGCATTACAGAAAATGTGTTCTTTGCAAGAAACACTGATCAGCCACTGATCAGCTTGTGTGTAAATGTTATGAGTTTTACCTTACCATTACATGTTCCCATTCTTAAACACAGCCACAATTTTGTGCTTTTAATTTAAGATGTTATCAATGCTTTTGAACTCCGTTGGAACAAAGTGTTTCTGACCTTTGAGTTAGAACTGAACTGATCGAAGGTCAGTTTTTTCAGTGTTTGGAAATCGAGGTTGACTTCCAGACACAACTAATAGTTCAATGTAGGTTATTTCTAATTACTCAGAACATGGCCTTGCTTCTTAGACATTAAGTTAATAATAACTTTAGCTTCCACTGTCCCCATTGTGGAAAACATGATTGGAAGATGTCAATATATTCCCTAAAATGGGTGAAGAGTGTAGTGTTTAGAATTGAGTGTAACACAAGTGCAGTTTTCCCCTGTTCACTTGTAAGTGTACAAAATTTAACTGTAATATCTTACCATTGTGTATAAAATTAAAATGCAGCAAATGTATTAAGCAAAGATTACAGAGACAATATTTGATACTGATATTTGATATTGATTTGAATGAAAGATGCTTGTATCCATGTTTAATGTCTAATAATGATTTATATTATTTGGACTGATAATAAGTAATACATCTATCTAATGCTGAAGCCCTCACATTCACAGTTTACAAATTTTAATAAAATATCACTGCATTTCATTAACAACTTTGAACTTGATAACAAAACTTGGCTTCTGTGTTTCTGGCATTTAGAGATAGTTTTGGTTCAGAGATAGAGTTTGTTCAAATCCTACTTATGGCACAATTTTAAAACATAGATGTTTAGATACTGCCAAACGAATATTATAAGGGGCAACTTCATCTCATTGAACAGAGCGACATTGGTTAATGGCTGCAGTCCATCGAAGTAATGTTAACTGGATTAATACTTCATAATTAAGCTTGTACATTCTAATTAGACTAATTTAAACGCTCAGGATGCTACTTTTAAATACTCATTCTGCAGACTGAGGGCTTATTTTAGCATAAAGTCTTGTATTATATTGAAATGAATGAGTTTACTGATTCTGATTTGATTCACACAGCTGTATTGTGAAGAATGGTATAAGAGAGTGGTCGTGTGTTTTGTACAGTAATTTGAATAAAAAATCTACCTTTGGCTTCATGAGGCAAATTGAAAACGTTCAAAATGTATTACCAGACCCTCTGCTTGAATTACTCTCCTTTAAAAAAAGTACTTATAATACATTTTTCTATCTGTCTGCAGTTGTTTTAGCATACAGTATGCAGGTGTTTCTCCTCCATGAAAATAAGCCATTTGGAAGTGACATTTTGTGACAAGCAGCAGTGCGAGGACTAGACCTTGCTGCGGGCTGCTGTGTCGCTGGTGTGTGGTGTGTGTTGACTGAGTAGCTAGGAGCAGTGACACTTGGCAATGTGAGTCTGTCAGTAAGCCCAATGTTTCTAAACCCTCACAACAGCTGCTACACAGAACAGGCAGAGATACCAGCTCATACTGAAAGTGTCTGCTACTATTTCAGTGCAGAAGCCTTTCAGAATAGTTCAGGGAGAAATCCCTGCTGAAATGTAACTGCAGCTCATCTCTGGCTTTGTAACAAAAAACTGCACCTGAAAATACACCAAAGTTTCCAAAATGTGATTGGAAAGTGCAACCATGTAATCATCCATAGCAGTGAAGCCCGATAGGATATTTGGTCTATTTCATAGATCTTCAACCAGAAGTTAAATTAATTAGCTTAAATGAACTTGAGAATATGAGATTTGTGTTGATCTAATTCAAACATGCATTCCTATATGAGCATATTGTTTACCCTACAGCCAGGTAGGTATTGTTTTGTATGTTTTGTATGTTTTGTATGCAATTACTATACAGATTTTTGGTTATTTAAGAATATTACGAACGGGTCATTTGTAAAAACTGTTCATTTGGCATAATATTCTTTGTGACATATACTTATTTCATCACTGGGTCTCTGTGTTTGGTTAATAAGGAGAAATCTATTTCATATTTAACAGTCAGTTAATTAGAAGAGTGAGTCCCCATTCGGACACATCAGGTTGTGATGGTTTGTATTTCATGTTAATAATACCTGGATCAAGTCTATTCATCTACATGGTAGATAAACTTAAGAATGGTTTATTTTAGGCTGTACTGTCGCTTTGTAATGGAAAGATCAGATCCTTAAATTCTTCTTTCTTTGGGATGAAATGCTCATATAAATGCAAGGAATTATTTATTTGTAATTAATACCTCTCTTTTGAGAAAGTTTATTATAATTTCTTTTAATTGAGAATGACGGTGCTTTGAGACTGGTATCAAATTCTTAACATGTCAGTATTCTTTTAAAACAAGAACACAGTTTGATATTCATATAAATAAAGGAATATATGTTTAATCCAGTCTGTTGTTCATCAATATTTTATATCTTTGGTGTGTTGTTTGCCAATATCTTGAGTGCTAGATTTAGCAATCAGGAAAAAAGCCTTAAATGTAAGTGTCCAAAAGTCAGTCCTGTCCAAAATCTAAATCCATTTTGTGTAATGTGAGAGCAATTGGCACAGGTCTCAGTGGCACTGTTGATTTAGCACTACAGAATGCAGATGCCATGCCATAATATCATAATGACTGACAGATTTTCTAGCTGAGTTTGGCCATCTAAACACTTGTTTATATTCTCAGACCCCAAAAAACCCATTGAAGCTAAGCAAACCTTATTTAATTTGTACTGAGGGATATTTTCAATCAATTAATATAGCTATATATCACTGGATATGACTTTACATTTGACAAGTTTATATATAACAAAACATTGCATTCACACGGCATGTTACAGGATCCATGTCATTTACAGTGGACAAAATAATACTAGTTCTAATGAATTCAGATAAAAAATTCACCAGTCTTTAGACTTCATATGGTCATTCGTGATTATATGTACTGTATAGTCAGGCACAAACAACAAAATACTTCTTTCTTGGTATTTGGTGAAGGCTAGTTAATGATATTGCTGGTGTAATAACGGCAGATATTTAAGTCATTGCTAGTAAACAAATGAACACTTCAAAAGTCTTGTGGATGTGCTGTATCCAGTACACATACAGGTAGTGATGGGGAACATAAATAGTTTGTTCAGCGGTGACACCTGTACAAAGCACAATGGGTTTATTGACACATTTGAAGCTTTCAATGAATTAATTTGTCCTCAGGAAAAAATATTTTTAAACAAATTAGCTCACTGTATGTCATAGTCATGCAATATTTGTAGATGCTAGGTACGTTAACATTCTTTTCTGGGTTTGCATTTTTATATTATACTCACAGGTAAATGAAGTGAAAACAATTCCTCGTTTCATTAAAACTCTGAATTAGGCCTATGTGTCTGCTTATCTTTATTCTAATCTACTATGCTTGCTTTTAGTACACACAGAGAATTACATTATTAACAACAAGAAAATGAGAGTTAGCGCAGGTTTGGTTATTCGTGATCAGGTCATGTAAAATTGTAATTATGCATCTGTAGGGAAGTCCCTTATGCGTTTCTCTCAAACTGTGATGTTTTGTTCTGATTGCAGATTCTTCTGTGCAGGTAAATCACGCCTCTGTGACCTCTCCTCCGTCTCAGCCTGCAATGAACACCATGGTCGGACACCCATCCGTGATCAGTGCTTCGATCAATTCCTCAAGGCCACTTCCATCACCAATGAACACTATGGGATCCCCTATCAATGGACTTGCTTCGCCTTATTCGGTTATAACATCCTCATTAGCCTCGCCATCTGTTTCTATGCCATCGACGCCTGGTATGAACTTCGGTTCATTAAATAGTCCACAGGTAGGTATCTCTCCTTCACTGCAGCAATGGATTAGGATTAGGCTTCCCTCAGTTCTGAATTGGATGGGATTCAGTTGTGCATTCCACCAGGCATTTATTTCATATTTATAGTGTTCCTGAACAATTTCCCTTGGTCACAAAAACCCGTTCCAAATTCATATGCGTTTCTAGGCTCATCCTTTATATGTTTTGCTATTACAATTGCTGGAATTGTACCGTTGTATCCATTAGTCCACAAATACAGTAGCTCATATTTAAATATTTGGAGAAGATGAGGCACTATCACAAGAATTTAAGACAGGCACTTTTAAATTGATATTTTAGAGAAGATGTCGCGTTTCGTTTTGGAATGTCAGATTTCTCGCTGCTGTTATAGGAATTGACATTGTGTGCCTTCAGCTTGGAAGGGAACATTTTCCTGGCTTTTGCAGTGATGAGGAGTGACAGGCCAGACCCATGGGAATGAGTAGCTTGCCAGTTAATGGAACCTTAACCGAGTTTCTTTCTCAAATGTTATACATCTTTGCTTTGAGCATTAAGAGACCATTTCTAAGTAGCTGTACTACTAGTTTTCCTACGTTTTCTTTGTGATGTTGCTACATGAATTTGAAATGTATGTATGTACTAGAAATGTGATGTTTTTCTTTATGTCAGTTGTTGCATTCATCTATATGTCTTTGACTCAGAGCAGCTGAATCAGGTGTTGGTAACTGTAATGGTTTCTTGGTTGTAATTTCACTCCTAGGAATGTGTTTGCTTTTCTTGTTTAATGTTTATTTTGGCTGTTTTAAATTGTATCGGCTGGCCTCTGTTCTGATGGACCAAGTTAACTCAGGACCTCAGGTTGATCTCGGTTAACTTAACAGACTAAGTCAAGACTGTGTTGGTCTGCGCCTGAAGGGATTCAGTTTCTTGATTTTCCTGCACCGTTCAAGTAGTGAAATAATCCAGATATTATTGAATTCAGTGCCTATACTTTGAATCAGTGAATCAGTTTAGAAAGAAACACTTTGCTTATAATCTTTTTCCCATTTTCTAGATTACACCTTCTCATCTTTTAATTATATTTTGTTCTAGTGCAAGATCTACTTTGCATGGAGAGTTAGCTTTTTAGAAAAACACTCAATTATAAATGACGCACCATTATTTAACGTATTCAGCAGAGCATCTATAATCTACATCTGATGTGCTTAACATTACATTTGCAGACTACAAATATTTAGGTCAGTCCTGTTTTGCTTTACATGCCAAGAAGTCTGTTCTCCTGAGGAGGAATGCAGGTAGAAAACACTAACTGCTGTCTTGTTCAGTGGCTTTTAGGCCAATTCATTGTACTCAGCGTGGGGAGAGCGCTACCCTTAAAAATCACCCAAAGCCTTTTTTTTCTTTTTAGTAGACTGAAAATCTGCTGACCTCTACTGGCAAATAGATGAACTGCAAGCAATGACAACGACTTTTATTGAATGTTTCGTGAAAACGCACATAAAGGGCAGAAACAGTGCATTGTTGTGCTGTAGTTCTTTGGCATTATTCTCCCTCATCTACCATTGAAACAGCTCTTCCATATTATTGTCAATTACTTCCATAATGGCCAAAGGCTGAATGGCCCAGAGATGATGAAGATGCTTGAAGCACTTCACTATACCTGATGACCACTTTCTTTCTTTTTTTCAGATGAGTTCAATGAATAATGTAAGCAGTACAGAAGATATTAAACCTCCCCCTGGACTTTCTGGAATTGGAAATTTAAGCAGCTACCAGTCTATGAGTCCAGGATCTTTATCCAAACATATTTGCGCAATATGTGGCGATCGATCATCGGGTAATTTACACTGCACCTTGGTCATCCTTGCTTTTGCGTATTTTTTTAAGATGCTAAACTGTTGACACCTAATACCGAAGACTACTTGCTTAATAAAGGAACTTTCCTCAAGTAAAGCAAGAGGAAAGCTTTATATTTATATTTTATATTTACATTTATGTTTAATATAAGATCAATGAAATTCGCGATCGTTGGATTCCTTAAATAATCAATACCTTGGAACAGAAAGCTTGAAGCATTGTGCATCTTTTATGATACAACTCCACAAGAAAATATGAATTGCTCTGAAGAGTTCTTACTTTTCTAGCGATTTCATCCCAGTGTTAATAGATTAGCTGAGTGGCAACTTATTTGTTTACCAGGAGAACCACAGGAGCTGTAGGAAATATGTTAAAAGTGTAATGACTATGTCACACGCTTAGATGTTCAGACAAGGTGTGACAAGATTTCGAGAAAAAAACATATCAGTGAATCAGTAAATCGAGCTACACTTCTTCCTGTATCTGTTGTGCACTGTTCAGTGATCACCGACACTGACAATCCTGTCATCTTCACAGGCAAGCACTACGGGGTGTATAGTTGCGAAGGATGCAAAGGCTTCTTCAAAAGGACCATCAGAAAAGACCTTACCTACACGTGTCGCGACAACAAAGAGTGCCTGATTGACAAGCGCCAGCGTAATCGGTGTCAGTACTGCCGCTATCAAAAATGCCTAGCAATGGGCATGAAAAGAGAAGGTAGGCTACAGGAAAACCCATGAAATACATACAATATAGTATTAATAACATTATATCAAACTAGTGGAAGGTTGCATAATTCTTTGATGAAGGTCTGAACCCTTTAGGTTAGGGTTAGGATTTCTCCAACATGTAGAGAGTGTTTGTTGGCATGGTTGTGTTTGAGAAGAGAAAATACATTTAGGAAAAGTGATACAGTATGTCAGTGTTATCTTTACATTTTTTTTCTTGCATATATGGCTCTTTGTACTGCTTTGCCCTAAATGGGAATGTTGTCTAAATTGCCCTAAAAGGAAAAGATTGGAGGAAACTGATTATAGTTTTCAAGCTCTTGCATTTTGGCATGGAATATACTGGCATATTAACAGATTAGTCAAAATGTATTGAGTATTTCAGACTTTTTACCTATTGAAGCCTGAAAACACGCTTACTGAGAACGCCATTGAACATGAAATTTCCAATATCAGAACACTTGTCAAAAAATAGAATTCTACCATTGATGTCACATTATTTTTGGTGTTCAGTGATTACTTAGACTTTTTATGCTAATATTTGGATGTACCGAGGTATATTTTCCACCCAAATGAGTAGAAGGTTGCATTAACTTTTTTAGGGCTAATCTGAACCATAACCCTAGCCTACCAAACCCTGAGCCAGGGTTAGGGTTAGGATTCCTACAACATGTAGAGAATGTTTGATTCTCTGCATGGCTGTGTTTTATGAGTGAAAAGAAATTTAGGAAAAGTGATATGTCAGTGTTATCATTACATTTTTTTTCTTGAATATATGGCTCTATGCACTGCATTGCCCTAAATGGGAATGTTGTCTAAATTGACCTAAAAGGAAAAGTTTAAAGGAAACTGGTTATACTTTTCAATCTCTTGCATTTGGGCATGGCATACACTGGCATACTAACAGATTAGCCACAATTTATTAGGTATTTCTAACTCTTAACCTATTTAAGCCTGAAAACATGCTCATTGAGATCACCATTGAACACGAAATTTGAAGTATGGAAATCGGAGAATGTTTGATGGCATGGCTGTGTTTTAAGAGTAAAATGTCAGTGTTATTTTCACATTTATTTTCTTGCATATATAGTATAATAAAAAACATTAGAAGAAACAAAGAATTTTGAGTTCTTTCTGTGTAATATTCATTGTATGCTGATGCAGAATTCTTGAGGATATCCATCCATTTATTTTCTAGTAGCTGTATCCAGTGCAGGGTTGCAGCAGAGATGGAGCCCTTCCCAGCAAGCAACAGGCGCAAGGCAGGATACACTATGAACAGGACAATGGTCCATCACAGAACAGACACACACACTCAGATCAGGGCCATGTTTTTCCAGAATCCACATAACCAAGACGTTTGTGTCTAGACTATTGAGGAAACCAGAGCACCCAAAGGAAACATGAGCAGAAACAGGTTAAATATACAATCTCCACGCAGACAGCACCCCAGAAATTGAATCCATGGTCACTGCACTGTGAAACTACAATGCTGAACACTTCATTACTGTCCTGCCTGTTATATATGATAATATATTAGAATAATATGCTTGTTGTCTCCCTCACGACCCTGTACTTGACAAAGTGGTTAGAAAATTGATGGAAATAATAATAATAAATGTATAGATAATTATTATATTTTATAGAGTAAATATTATAGGAAACTAATTAACTTAAGTATTTTGAATCATTGAGGTTCCTGAGAGGCTTCAGTATTTGCAGCGTCCAAGTTCACATAAGCACAGATCGATGCTTTTCTAAAACCTTGTATCTTCTGCTCTTTGAAGCCCACTGGGTATTAAAGAGAGTTGTTACACTTAAGGGTATTTCTTGTTTTTTTTTTTTCTCGAAAGGGTAGTTTCAATCCCGATTTTCCTCATACCTGACCTTTTGTAAATGTCACTTGGCGTTCCCTTTTTTTTATACTTCGGTTAACTTAAAATAAAAAAAAACTACAAAAAAGGCGAAAGATTTTGCACTCACGAGGCCCTGACTCATCTTTCAGCTGTTCAGGAGGAGAGACAGCGGGGCAGAGAGAAGAGTGACAACGAAGTGGAGTCCACAAGCAACTACAATGAAGACATGCCAGTGGAGAAAATTCTGGAAGCTGAGCTTGCAGTGGAGCCAAAGACGGAAACATATATGGATGCCAGTCTGGGAAACTCAGTATGTACTTTGCAAGAGTGTAAGATAAAAAATCATATCCATTTCCTACATGTGCTATCATGATTTGACACATAGTCAATCTGCTTTTGAGCTGTAAGAGTACAAGGATGTTTCCTGTATTTCAAATGATTCTTTTGAATCTCTGTGCTCTGCGCCGATGCCAAATTGTGTCATGCATGAAGCACAAAAGATTTATTGAAATGCTTAGTTTCTGTCAGAATTGAAATATCATAGTCAAAACAACTGGTTATTACAGAGTTTCTGTAGTGCTGTCTTTACAGCAACCATGTCTAGTGTGGTAATGTGTCTCTCCTTCTCTTGTCAGTCTAATGATCCTGTTACCAACATCTGCCAAGCAGCTGACAAACAGCTCTTCACTCTTGTGGAGTGGGCTAAGAGAATCCCCCACTTCTCTGAACTACCTCTCGATGATCAAGTCATTCTTTTGCGGGCAGGTAAATGAAAGTGGTTACCAAACGGTGTTTTTACCTCTCAAAAGAAATGTTTCACTGCTTATATTGTCTGTTCTGGCCAGTGGTGAGATGGTTGAAAAGAAACTGTCCAGGAAAGACTTAAACCTTAGCTTGTCGTCACAATCTGCGGTGCTGTTTAAAGTGTAATAGCAATAGCTGGACGTCTCTAGTGTGTTTTTCTGTTGTTTTCAGGTTGGAATGAATTGCTCATCGCCTCCTTTTCTCACCGCTCAGTCACTGTGAAAGATGGCATTCTCCTGGCCACTGGATTGCATGTCCATCGCAGCAGTGCACATAGCGCTGGGGTTGGCTCGATTTTCGATAGGTATACTGGAATTCATGTGATCTCAGTCTAACTTAGCGCTCTCTACTTGTATTGTGACACTACTGTAGCTGTACTGTACTGAAGAAGAGCATAACCAGGATAAAACACTTTCTCGTACTGTATGACTGTATATTGTTACTTACCTCAACTTCCAGTTTAATAACAGCTTAATAAAGTGACTTAAAATATACTAATTTTCTCTCAGCCTGAAGATCTGCATGAGGAGCTACTGAGATGTCTGCATAGCACCAGAAGTGGGAACTATAGGTGCCTGTTGATTAGCCATTCTTATGATGAATATAAGCAATTATTTGTTTTAGATTTAAAATTCAGATACCTATATTTATTTCAAGGATGTTATTATCAAAAGGAGATGCTTTATATCCTGCACTGAAGTGTTTTCTCCTTCAGTATAAAAACTATGTGCATTTTTGTATAAAAATAATACATTAATTTTAAAATGGCTCTTACATTGTACAGTTTGATACAGTAACACAATTTGAGCCAGCCATCAATAATAATAATAATAAATTATTTCTACAGAGTTCTTACTGAGCTAGTGTCAAAGATGAAAGACATGCAGATGGACAAAACAGAATTAGGGTGCCTGCGAGCCATTGTTCTTTTTAATCCAGGTAAGAAGCTTTTCATTCAAAATGTGAATGTGCGCGTTTATTTTAAGCTTCTATAAACCGTCAGAAAAACAGGACAGTTTTCAAATCATTGTGCTCCCATGCAAAATCTCCAGAACTTACTCTGTCTCCGAATCAACGTCTTCAAATCGAAACAGTTTTGAAAACTGACCATTCCCGGCTACTCTCAACAAACCTGGAACAAATTTTGCTGTGGAGAAAAAAAAAAGATACGTTCCGACAGTCTCAAGACATATTGTGAGGTACAGGTCTTTGAATTATTTGACCTTTTTTGTTGTAGATGCAAAGGGCTTATCGAACCCATCTGAAGTGGAGGGACTGAGGGAGAAAGTGTATGCGTCACTTGAGGCTTATACAAAACAGAAATACCCTGAGCAGCCTGGCAGGTACGTGTCCTTGTTCCAGTAGTGCTTAACCACCTCTGAGACGAATCCTATGAATCCTGTACTTTCAGCACATGTGTCTGTTTTAATAACCGTCAAAGTAGTAGGTCTTGAAACACGTGCACCTGTTTTTTTTAACCTTTTACAGCCTTTAACATGCTAAGCTCAATTATTTGATCAGCTTTATCTTAATTCAGCATGATGGCGGAATGGTTAGAATTGATGCCTTGAAGTCCTGAGGCTGTAGGTTCAATTCCAGACCTTTAGAGACTCTGCATGGAGTTTCTGTGTTCTCTCTGTGTGGTTTCATGTGGGCTTCCTCCCACAATGCAACACTGTACTGGGAGGTTGGCTTCTGGGAAAATTGCCCCTGGTGTGACTGTCTGTGTCTGTGTACTCAGTGATGGACTGGTGTCCCATCCACAGTGTATTCTGCTTTATGCCTGTGCTTGTCAAGGATAGGCCCTGGCTTGTGTGTGATCTGAACTGGAAGAAGCACTTAGAAAATGGGAGGATGGCTAGTTTTAGTTGGAGCCTGTGCTGACAAACAGTGGACACAAGGAAGGAGACACCCTGAAAGGGATGCCAGTAGGAAAAAAAAATAACACTGACAAGAAGGCGAACGTTTTTTGGAACATTAAAATAGCCGCTGTCCTTTCAAAGTGCACGAGAAACACCATTTGTCTTTTCCTCCTATTTCAGATTTGCCAAGCTTTTGCTGCGACTTCCAGCTCTCCGGTCCATTGGTTTGAAATGCCTAGAGCATCTCTTCTTCTTCAAGCTAATTGGAGACACCCCCATAGACACCTTCCTAATGGAAATGCTTGAAGCACCGCACCAAATAACATGACATAGACCTCTTCCTTTTGTAAATATTTTGAAGACTATGTAATTGATATTAAAAATGATTACATTGTAAACTACATATTTTGTATCATGTCCAAGCACAATTATTAGTGTGGAAATTTATAATGGGATTTAAACAGCTCTGTCAAATGATTTTCATAGAAATGTAACAGCAAGGTTTTGTAAATAGGTCATTCGAGTTATAGTTTCCAATTTAATAGTGGCTTAATGCAATGTACATCTAATTTTATTTAACAATAAACTGTTCAAACAGAAACTGTCAGAAGCCATGAATTTCTAGAAGATGTACTGCAGGAAAAACAGCTTTGCACTTTGTTTTCATTTTGAAATGCAATTTTTGTAGGTCATAAATTTGCAAAAACAGATACTTAATACAGATACCGTTACGTAGATTGTTACACATTAACAACCTTTTATACAAAAGGGGCAAATGATGAACTAGGCCAAAAAAATGTGTCTAAAAGTATAAAATTAATCGTGTGCCAATTATATGTAATTTAAAATATTAATTTAAAGGGATTTAGTTACATTAATAGAGCTTGATAAATCATAAAATGCGTAGTTCTTATTTGCCCATTCTGAAAATCAGGCTGTAGTTGTTCAGAATGCAAATATATCACTAATGCGCCGCTAGGTGGCAGGTTTTGAAAAGAAATCGTCCCTCTTTGCTGTACTGTATTTAAACAGTTCTGTTTGTACTATTTTTTTTAATTCTAAAAATGTCAGTCTTACACACTAATTGCACAAAATCGTCTCACCGTCTGCTTCAAGGTAAAGATGTAATAAAAACTTGACTTTCCATCTTTGTCTCAGTTTTACTTAAGTTCAGTATACTCGGTCTTATTCCTTGAGGTTATGCATAGGTAGGTATCGTCCTACAGTACCTTGTGCCCTGTGCGTCTGGGATCGGCTCTGTGGGTCGCTGTGACACTTATCAGAAATAAACGGCTTTGTGATGATGAATGGGATTTAATTCAACAACTCAATTCTTCCGCACAGCAAACAAAGCTTGTATTCTATTGATAAGTAATATGGGGGGTAATTATGTCTAGGGAAACAAGCTGGTACCGAAGTAAGCCCCTATGCCTTCATTCATATAAAAGTGATATGCTTTGTTAACCAAAGACCGACGAGTATTCAAGTAGAATGTGACTGGTGGTGGATTTTAAAGTTTCAATTTTTAAGTCAGTATTTAACTATTTAATGCATCATGTTTTTATACACAAGGAAAAAATACTGTAAATGGATCAGAGTCATGATAAAGCTACTTTTCCTGAATTGATTTTACTACATACTGTAGAAGCTGTTTGGTCGGTATCGGCATTTACAATTCTTCGTTTAATCGCTTTGTTGGTAAACCAGTATTTTTTGCTACTAATATAGTCTCAACACGAACACATCTGGGCATGGTTGAACAAGGTCTGTGTTTACCTGAAATTTGGAAGATAAGCATCATTCTGAAATGTACAGTAAATGTCCTACTAAATATAGTCGCTCCACGTAAACGTGGGTGGTTTTCAAAAACTGGTAACAGTTTACCAAAACGTCAGAATAATTCATCCACAACTTAACTGCGCATCACGGTCAGAAAGTTTTCAGATTGCCATTCTATTTAATGCAAATGTAAATCCCTTTTCCTAACATTTCAGTGCTGCCTGAACAATTGTAACTGTTCCACGAGTCTGCGTTAAAACAATTGGAAATGCACTTAAAGACATCATGAAAACGTCGTTCCATCCAAGAAAAAAAACGACGAAGAACGAAAGTGTTGAGTACACAAGTGGAACCGTGTACACCTACTGGGTTGTTCAGTATGTAAAACGAACAACAAAAATATATGTGGTACCCTAACACCACGTGATGTGTAGTTTTCATTTACAGCACATTTCCTCCTTTAAATACAGACACATTTTGTAAAAAATTATATAGCCATGCATAGGCCTTCTATAAGGGGTGGTGGCACAACTGCGATGGTGTCGTAAGGCGAATGGCATGAGTGCCCTTCAGTGGCTTTTATCAGCAAAATACTGTCCAATCTAATGTTATTATTTCGTTCCGCTTCACATTGGTCTCTACTGCTGAATGTGTGAGAAACTTAGATCATGAAAAACTGTCTTCCTAGGCTTCGTTCAGTAGGCAAATTTAGTCCAGAGTCCAAGCATCGAATGATGTCTATAAAATGTAAAAAACAAAGGGAAAACAGCTACGCATTGTAATTTTTCTGGCTGCTCTTTCGGGGGGGCTGGAATCAATAACTTCCAAAAACGTAACATTAGCAACAAAATGGGATTTTTAAAGGAATGTTCGAGGACTTTTTTTTGCTGTGCTGTGCTGAAAACACTTCTTCGATGACATTCGAGCAATTACAGAATCTTAGAAGTCTTAGCTTTCGTTCTAAACAAAATGATAAAAAAATTAAATTTTAAAGTTGCAGTTGTTACTTTCATACTAATGAAGCAGTTTCACTAGACACTTATTAAAATATTGAATATTTAGGTATTGAATTATACTGAATGTTTTTAATCTCTGCATAGCTAGGGAAGACCTCAGTTCTTCCGTTATGTTTAAGAAAAATAGATGTAATTCAATGGTAAAATGTGAAAACTAATTATAATTGCTCAACTGATTATACGGGTTTATTCTATGCGTTCATCAATTCTTTTTACCACGAACGCAGAAATGTATTGCATTTTAATTAATTTACCACTTTACCATGAACACGTGTTATTTTTGGGAATGTGTTATCAATTTAATATGAAAGGCCAGTGAAGGAAATAATTCTGGACACTCATTATTATTATTATTATACATTTTAATAACAGAATCTGGTAAAAAAAAAACGTCAAACGTATTATTTGCTGATATCTAAACGTGCTAGCTAAAATCACATTATTCACACGTAAGACAGATGTAGACGATTAAAATAATAAAATACGTACAGTAGACTCAACAAAAGTGGCATTCGGGATTTTTGGCCGTCAGAATTATTATATTATGATCTATGCGTTAGTACTAGCTTTTGTCAGTTTGATTTTTCGAATTACTTTATTTTTGTATAACGCTATTCTCATTGGATACAGATGTCTGATTTTAATAGTATCTGAATTGTATCTTTTGATATATTCATTTGTTGCACATTCTAACTTAAAGAGCTAATTCCTGTTTATTGAACATTTAATATATACATTTAATATACTGTATTGTCTTTCTAAGTCTAGTGTGGTAGCCTGATGACAGCAGATTACAATAACCTTCGCTAGATACTATAATACACGTGTGTGATGTATGAATATATTATGCTAATAGTTTCATAGATTACGCACGTGTTTCCATATTATAGATAAGTTATAGCCATTTATATACCAGTTATCACAAGTATTCATAATTACTTAAAGATATTATTTATTTTATCTATAGTTTTATCGAATATTTGATTTTTCCGTAGGTTTATACTAAACGTAATGTATAGGCCCATTAACAATTCATTTGAACAAGAAGCGAGACCTTTTTTCTTTCCGAACCTGCTATTCATTATTCACCTTTAATTCTATTTGTTTAAAATATACTTAGGGGGGGTCTAACTTTTCTCTGACTCTGAATACTTTAAAAAAAGAGAAATCCAGAAATAATACTTTTTACAGTCCCGTCTATTATGCAATTCGAAAAAGCATCTTTCTTAAAAAAAAACGTAAATACAAATTCCTATAGGAAACTGAAAAACGTATGGAAAATATGCAGCCAAATTGCTTAGGATAGCCGTTTCTTTTTTCTGGAATAACTACACGGAACGATTTTTTTTCGCTTGCTTTTGTTTTTATTTTATTTTTTTATTCTAGTAATGGATGCATTTCTGTGTTTAACAAAACAGACATGGGAAACTACAGTACCTGAAAGTTAATCTGAAATCGCCAAGCGAGCGCTGAGACAGCTGTAGAGAGATGGGAGGAGAGTAATTCTGGTCTTACAAGGCAGCAAGGCAGTAAGTAGTCTTGGTTAAAGAATCCCTCAAACTCCTTCTAGGTGGAGAGATGTAGAGATACCGCTAATGACGGAGTAATGGGTTAATTCCTCATCAGTAAAAAAGAAGCCGACCTGGAACAAGCCGCGAACAAATTAGGACAAAGAAAACTGAGTACAGTTTACCTTTGCCTCTGGCCTAAAGGAGATTTTAGGCTATTAAGGTTACATTGGAGTTTTTCTTTCGCACCTTGAACTAAATTAAGCCGCAATTAAAGACCCATTGAAACACCTTGGACCGAGGAGTCATGTAAAGGTGACGTATTAAAAAATGGACAGAAAACATTTTGTTGTTGTTTTTTTATCCTGTGATATTTTTTATTAAAACGTTTTTAATACAATACTTTCTTTTACGCAAGAAACACTGGGGGAGAAAGTCCAATTGTTACATTTCTGTTGTCTTACAGTCCATGAATTTTAATTGATTCTTTAAGGTACCGTAAGATAATCACATTATGCTTGGTCTAATTTTAAAAATGTTTATAAGAGGCAATAACAAAATACACATCATCTTATAATCTTGTACCATTCGATCTCAAGGAGGAGTGTACAGTTATGAATTCAAGAGTATAGGTATTGCACAGTTGCAAAACTACTGACTATAATTTTAAATTGCTTTTTTTTCAATAGGCGATGCTAGAGACCATTAAAATGGAAGAAGACATTCAAAATCTATCTTCACTCCCATCCTTGCATGGTGAGTATTCAGAAAAACAATCCTATTTGTCTTTTCAAATAAGTAGAATACTAGAAATAAAGAGCCCATCAATTTATGACTGAGTTTAAGGTAAAACAGATTTAACCCATTTTACAGTTCAACCTTCTTTCCTTCTGTAACGCGATTGTTATGATAACCAATAAATCATAATCTTGTCCCTTCGAGGTAGATGTGGCTAGAGTCAAGTACCCGCTTCAGGAATAAAATGTTGTGTTTTAATGTAACGGGAAATGAATTGAACTTACACCCTTTAACCAAACGTAATTGTTTTAAAAATATTATTTGTAAATATTGAGATTTAATGTAATAACCAATTTTAACCAAAAATATTTAAGTGAAAGAATAATGTTAAAATGAAATTAACTTTTTTTAATTAAATACCTGATTAGTTTTGCTTCGCTCTTAAATCTTAAAACGTGCAGCATTTTCAATACTGTCGAAAGAAATATAATTGTTCTTATTTAATTTTATTTCTGAATTATAAATATTTGCTCAATTAAAGTTTTCTGTATAGTCCATGTTTTGATCCGACAATTCATTAGTGATTTCCATAAGAAATTGTATCATTAATGACTCTTTGACATTAATTCCCATTACAGATACAAAATCCAATATTGCGTAAATTTTTTTTTTGGTAGTTAATCAGTATGTGCTCAAAAGTAATTTCAAAATATATGAAAGTACATGAAAACTATTAATTGGGACTCTATTACGTTTAGTTTAAACGGACGTCTTGGTTTCTTAAGCCATAAGCATTGAAAGGGTTCATTAGTATTGTTAGATATTGTATTTATTAAAATGGATGTGGTTTTGAAAATAGCAAATATAACCCACCTCACGCCTTTTTCCCCCCAAATTAACCAACTTTTCTTCTGTTGGATGTGTCCTGTTGTTTGAATAGTATCCTAAGGTGTTCCACTGTTTCATCTTTTCTCGTTGTCTTTCCAACCTGCAGGTTTAAAGCAGAAAGCCTTGTGCGAAGGCTGCCACAGACTGATCCGTGATAAATATCTACTCAGAGTCAATAACTGTTTCTGGCATGAACAATGTGTGCATTGTGCAGCGTGCAGGGAAACCCTTAAGAACACTTGCTTTCTGAGAGAGACAAAACTCTACTGCAAGCGTGACTATGAAAAGTAAGTACTTGAGGGTTTTTTTTAAGAGTGCCCATTAGACATTTTTGGAAATACGTTCAGTATTTAAGAAAAGTAACGTTCGAATTCGTTAACTTCGTGCATCTCTGTCTTCCTTTAAAACTGTTTAAAACGTTAGTTCGCTGTACAGTGTGTTACCTGCCTTACTACCAAAGAGAAAGTTTTCAGAAGTGCAGAAATTAACTTCATGCTAAAGACGTTGTTGTAGTGTCCACACGACGAAGACGAAATTTAAGCTCCTCGGGAAACGAGGCTTTTCTTCATAAAGTTGTTTTTCCAGCTGTATTGATTATAAGGGATGCATTATGATATTTCAGAGCTCAAGCACAGGCCATTTAAGTGAGGTATGATTTATAATTTATTAAAAGCAAACGTGAGCTAATTTTTTAAAGTACCGTTTACAATAAATAGAATAATATATTAAAAATAGAATAATAGATGTACAGTCTTATTGCGATAACCGTTTTTAAATTGTTTAATGTAAAGTATCGTTTTAAATCGTGTACTACTGTACACTGAAGTGGTTCACTTCAGCCCTACTTTAGAGATGTTCTAGGTTGAAAAGGGTGAAGAAGGGACAGCTGGGCCCAGGAAAACTGGCATGTCAGTAATCCCTATTGTTCTCTGTGGGAGTTTTCGCTGCATGACTGGTGACTTGTGCTCCACAGAGTCTGAAAAAAGGACATTCTTTATGTATAAAACATGCTTTCTCACTTTTCCCCTTTCTTCTCATTCTCGAGCGGTGCAGTCTAATTAATTTTCCCCTCCCCGAAAAAGGGGTTTATTAATTGATGCTTTCACATACCCGTGAAGAATAGATCCAACCCAGTTCTGGGTTCATTAACATTGTGTGGCAAACTGAATGTCTGTTTTAACATCCATTAGGGAACTTTGGAATAGCATCACTTTACAACGAGTGGCTTTAAAAGGAAATCAATTTGAAAAAGAGAGGCCTCACGGTGTGACTTCATTTTGGAGAGTACCTCTTAAGAAACCATAAATGCAAAATTATGTTGAACTCCTCTTCTGAGAACTGCGGCACTTAAGCCAGCACTGGTGCGTTCTGCAACAAATACAGAAGGTTATTGTTGAGGTAGGTCTGAAAGGCTGGTCCTGCTTGCTCATTAGTTTCTCTGTTGCTTCTCTACGCACACTCCAAACTGCAAACTGTGAGAGATCGCAAAATGGAATCAAAACAGCGTCCATGTTACCACTTGCAGTTCTCCCTATGCATGTGCTTATGTATAAGTATATTCTATAAATGTCGGTCTCCTCACAAGTATGAGAGTGCAATTTACCAAACATTCCCCATGTACAGTACAATCTCCCTTATGTCTGAATGCTCAGAAACTGATAACGTGTTACAATACTGTATTTAGAATCCTGGAAGTAGGGTTGGCCAGACTGATTCAGTTAAGGTACATGAAAGACAAGGTGACTGCAAAATAGAAGGCACTTTGGGCTGTGGAATGTGAGAATACTGCTACAGGCAGGGAGAGTTCTGGGGAGAGCTAAAGTGACACATTGTCAAGAAGTGTTAAATTAGTGAAATCCATTGACTTGGTAACTGCAAGCTGGGAATGACATATGGCCGTATCAGCATGGTTCATCCCGTGCATGCACTGAGAATATATAAAAAAAAAGACAAACAAAATGCTGCTTATGCTGTCATATTCCTCTGCAGCTTAATAATTCCATCAGTGGAGCTGTGTGTTTTTACAATGTGTTCTTTACATCTGAAAAATACTTTGTGTGGAAGATGCACCTGCTGAAAATGATTGTCTGGCTGACGGAGAATTAAGGAAAATCCTATCTGGTGACCAAACTGTTTTTCTGCCATGCTCCGATAGCTGTGCTTGTGCCAGGGCACATTATGATCTAAGAAAGGACCACTGAGTTTTTAATGGATTGGAATAGGCTGCCCACATGGCTGATAGTGACATGTGTAGAAAAGCTGCATCCCAAAGGCCCCGGTGTGGGGAAACGGGATAGGAACAATATCAGCACCATATGTTCCTGGCTTTGATAAACTTGCAGAAGGAGATCTTGAGGAGACGTGAGTACATGGGCTGTGTTGTGGCATCTGGATAACCCTTCCCCAGGAGCCTCTGTACTGTGGTGGGACACTGCTCACCCAACCATGAGTTATCTGACCTGACCAATTAGCCATTTGCATTGAGCCAAGCCTTTCTGTTCACTATTCACAGTCTGCTCTGATGCAGCCTTATGCCTTTTTCAGTGGGGTGGATGGTGCCACTGACTGGGGTCAATGTGACAGACTCTGCCGCTTATTTCCTACTTTGCCCTGATCTCATTGAGTATAATCAAAAGAATAATGAACTCTTTGGTGTAGCCCAGCAGTATACAGACTACATATGTGAACGACATCAGTCTCCACCCATCACATACTAAGGGATCAATGACTGACATGCTAAATCGTTGCCACTCTGATCTACTGTAAATTAGTAGAAAATGTTCACAGCTGAAATGTCAGTTATTAACCAAGTGGGATTTGTATTTTTAATTACATAATTTGTTATATTATATATTGTAATTAATATAGAAAACTAAACAGCAGTTTTTAATTTACTTTTGGACAGTCCTTTGTTTCTACAGAGGTATCATACTTAAATGACTGACTATCATTATCATACCAGAAAAAAAAAAACTTGATTATAGGACTGACCCCTAACCTGCAGAAGGCTTCTCCTGATACAAAGAAACCCATTAAAGAAATCCCTCCGATGCATTTGAAAATAATCAGGAACAATGAAAACCAATAGCCAGGTCTATTCTGATCTGTATGAATCAGCCTTGAGTTTTGATTGATCTTCCATAAGTATTTAAACTGATAAACTCCCAAGATCATTAAATTTTAACGTGCATGGAGCGTGATTCTTTTAAGCTCAGCTATTAGTGCTGGGCAGAGCAGTGTGAAATTAATTTTTACGGATATTTTCGTTAATACCCAGCCACTAATGGCTTTTATTTAAATTCACCATGTCCATTTTTCTCCATTTGAGTATTTTCAATCCAGCTTCAAATTCCTATCTGTCAATAACTGCAGAAAAAAATGCTTAAATTATTAATTACTCAGCTTCTTTGCACCAATTAAATACTTTTTGTATCGGCAGACTTCAAATGTGATATGAGCATTGTGAAAGTAGTGTTATGAAATGCACACTGTGTGAAATTTTGAATGAATTGAGGGTTTCTTTGAAATAATTTGACTACTACAATTGTACCATGTAATAGAAAATAAACTGGATGAAATGAGATACTAATACATATTTTTTTGAAAGAATGTATCCAGATTTTAGTTTAGGACAGAGTCTGCCAAGACCAAATACCTAATAGAGGTTGTGAATAGATAAAGAAAATAATATCTTTTAAATGATTTATTTTGTATTACTGTACCTTTTAAATGGCTCTTTCAAAAATAACTTTAACCAATCTCACTGTCATGTGAATAATTACAGACAGAGATTCAGACTGGTCTATCAGACCTATCGCAAATTTTCTTGCTGGTCTCCTAGGTGATTTTTAATGACACTAATAAGAAGCAACAATGTTGTTCATTGGGATGGTATGTACTTAAACTATAAACTTCTCCGCTGGTATCTTTGTGATTTGTGTAGTAGGTCAACAATACGACAGATAAATAATATTAGTGTCACCGATCTTGTTTTTCATATTTGATCAGATAATCTAATGAAAGTAATACATATTTACATTTGAAGAACTCATGAAGCGGCAAACTTTGGTGTGAGCAGTTTTAAGAAGAATATTTTCATGTCAGTCTTCAGCATTTGGTTTTTGTTTGGTCTGTTCTATAAATAAAGAAAACAAAATCCTAAAACTCAAGTCAGATGGTAATTTAAACACACATTGTGCAGCTGTGCTGCTCTTCATTTTCATTTACTTTATTGAAAAACATGAAAGTGCTTTAAAATACTTCGGGGATTTAATGATCAAAATGGTTTCGAAAATCTAAAAATGTTCAAATGTAGTTCAGTGTAATAAGGCCGAACCCCCATCATTTGGAATAGTGCAACTGTAGTGGAAAAGAAGCAGGAGACAGACAAATGTGAATTCATTGAGAATAAGACAATGAACATGAGGCTACGTTAGAGGCCTTTGTTTTTGTTTAGTTAAGTATAGTTAAAATAATACCATGGATCAGCCTGCCCCATGGGAGAACTGATTCCTCCCCTGACTGGAGCCATTGCATGCAGAGTTTTATTCTCCTATCTCTGTAGGACTGAAGCCCTTGGTTCAGCAGCCAAAAACCACTCATAGTTTAAAGAGCTTAGTCCAAGTTTGGTTGCCAGGTGCTAAAACGCACACTTGCCACTCTCACATGGAGGGGTAACTGGGCAGCGGGGGGGTCATGTCAGCTACGCCAATAAAAGGCACTACTCAGCAACATTCCAAGTTCCTTTGACATATTTTTTTTTATGAGCACTGGAGGAGGAAGTTAGAAAAAAAAGGTGATTTTTTACAGAAAAAAAAACAACTATTTTGGTGACAGTTAGAAGGTAAAAACCATTAACGCTCAGATCTTATGCAAAGTTTATGACAAATTGAAGATCATACGAAAGTATTAGATATGTGGAAATGTAAAAATAACATTATGTTCTCCTTAACTACAGTACTTATTTTTGCTGTCTCTCAGTCTTTCTCAGTCTTTTGCATACCATATGTCAGCATTGCTTCAGTTGTGTGCTTGGTAAAACAGAAATCCAAACTTATTGTATTCGATCTTATTTTATTGCTGACTTCTTTTTCTTGAAGTCACTAATGCACATTTCATATAGAGTAATGTTTTACTACCTAACAAACGTATGCTCACAACTCCAATGTCTTGTGACTTAGATCCCTTACAATACTTTTTCAAATGAATATTTTCTCTAATATGGAAGAACAACAGTCCATACCATGTGAAGGAGATTTAACGAATAGAAATTATGCCTACAGACAATTCTGTCCAAGATACCCTGACATCTCCCATGCAAGTAGAGCCAGCATATTTCGACAGCAACATTTAATGAGGCAGCTCACGTACTGCATATTTAAAACAATGACTAGGAATCCTCTGTCATAGTCGTTTTCTTTCTTTCCCACACTAATTAGATTGTTTGCAGTGAAGTGCAGCGGTTGTTTGGAGGTGATTACTCCAGCAGAGTTGGTGATGCGCGCCCACAAGTTGGTGTACCATCTGCAATGCTTCTGCTGTTGTGTGTGTGAGCGGCGCCTGCAGAAGGGGGACGAGTTTGTGCTGAAGGAGGGGCAGCTGCTCTGCAAGAGCGATTACGAGAAGGAAAGAGAGTTATTGAGCCTCGTCAGCCCGGCCTCATCAGATTCAGGTACGGACTGGCTAATAACAGGGAAGGGCTAAAGGAAGTCATGGCTACATAAAAACAGCTGCTGTGTGAACACTGTACACTGTACACTGTCAGTGATGAATCTGAAAATATATCTAGGATAATGAATGACAACAGCTTGCTGCATTATTCAGGTAGCATTTGAGGGTTTGTTTGCATGCAATGGCAAGGATCTTTGCTAGAAAAGTCTTATTTTTTTTCAAAATCCAGGCAAAAGTGATGAAGATGAAGATAGTGCTGATAAGTCTATGAGAAGCACAAAAGCAGGTGAAGACCCCGAACACAAGCGGCCTAAACGCCCCCGGACAATTCTCACAACCCAGCAGAGAAGGGCTTTCAAAGCTTCCTTTGAAGTCTCCTCCAAACCTTGTCGAAAGGTCAGCAACAGCTTTTTTCATCTTTCGGTCCATCCATTGTCAGAAAGTCACTGAATTCTGGACGGAGCTGAGGCAACCAGGAGCCGATCCTAAAAGCTTAGGGTGCAAATTTGGACTGCACCCTGGAGGGGATACCAGGCGATCACAGAATGCTTGTGCGGTTACACACACAGTCGCCTAAGAGGAACAAATTAACCAAATCAGCATTTCTTTTGGAGATGGGAGGAAACCACATTGAAATGGTTAGACTATGAAGAATCCTGACAGATAGTATCTCAGGTTGGAATCAAAGTCAGAACCCAAGAACTAACTGCTACACTACCATGCCCCCACACTACAGTAGTTCACTTGGGGTGTTCAGCTTTATAAGTATTACATTGCAAATAAATAAGAGGAAAGAATGAAACAAATCACAGTATAGAGATGACTTGCATAGAAACAAACTATATTTTCCAGACATCTATTTATTTATCTTCTAATTGCCCTGCATTACAGTATCTGCACCTACAGTACCCATTATAAAATCTGAAAGTTTCAAGTCCTTCTGTAATCTGTTTTAACCAAAAGCAAGAGTAACGCAATCCACAAGAGAAGTGACTTGATTCTGGAATGTTGTAAATGAAGTGAGTTGATAAGTGATAGACAAGTTTTTTAAAAAACGTATCTCTATAATTTATAATTAACATGATTACAACTTGTAACAGAGTTGCATATTTATTAGCAGAAACGTTTGATGCTAATAAATGTTGAACAGTCATTGGTTCTACAAAAGCTGCATTTGTACCCGTTAGCCTGATTTTGTCAAATACTGACCTTTGTTGACCAAGATACAAACTTAGTTCATGTTTAGTGTTATTATTCCAGTACGATAGCTGTTAGCATCAAAGTCTTTGGTTAACAGCTGTGATTTTGCAGCTTATTCATTTTGAAATTTCAGAAGCTAAGCAAGACTGGGCCTGGTCAGTACTGGGATGGGAGACCTTCTGTATCAGGAAAACCAGGGTGCTGCTGTATGTAGGACTGGTGGACCAGTACATGGTTCTTTTCCTGCTAGACTAGAATGTCTAAGACCAGAGCCTTAGGATTGTGACAGTGGACACTATGTTTGGAGCCCATCGTTTGAATTTGATATTAATTCCAATTCTCCTGACTTGAAGACCCAATGGTAGTCTTGTTCATCAAAATATAGCAGTTAACACCAGTATCCTGGCTAAGATGTACTCTGGGTGTGGCATGAACAATCTGGACTGCTCCACGTTCTCCTGAATTCAATTAGTGAATCTGTTTTGCACTTCTCTTCCTGATCTACTGGATAGTGTAGCTAATAGATGATTGGTTTTGGGGGTATCAAGTGGGTGCTGCACTTCAGAGGTGGGTGAAGTGGGTCCATTCCTTTATGTAAAGTTCTTTGGGATGCAAAACTCCATATCATTATAAAAAATATTATTGTTTTTTTGTTAACTACAGGTAAGAGAGACACTGGCAGCAGAGACAGGATTAAGTGTGCGAGTTGTGCAGGTCTGGTTTCAGAATCAAAGAGCTAAGGTAAAGAAAAGTTTGGTCTTTGTTCACCTATAGCCAGTCATGTCTGCCTTTACAGAATTTGCAGCTATTGGAAGTCTAATATATTATGCAGAAATTGATTTTCTTTATTGTGCACACTTATACTCTTTATACTATATTTGACTTTTATCCTTCTTGTTAAAACATGTTTAGATATTTAAAAACAAGTGTACTGTACATATATTCAAATAGAACACAGCCTGTCATTTTCTATGATGGCTGTAGTTTTCACTTGCCTGTAATAGAACCCTTCGTCTTTTATTTTATTCACCAATGTTCTATGTTCCATTGAGAGTCTCCATAAAGAAAGGTTAAATAAATGAGAAGAGGTACTCAACGACAGTAGCTGGGCAGTTTGTTACAGACACCTACAGCCTGACAGACTTGATTTCTCTCCTCAATGCATTCCTTCATTATTACATAATTATAATTAAATAAATAATATCTTAGTTTACTTCTTTATAGTCTTGGGTGCTTAGGATTTTATGAATTCATCCTCTGGATTGATTTGGTCAATAACTTTCAGGGTTTAAATTACTTGAATTGATTACACTTGACTCCTCTGATATAAAGAGATTCACTTCCTTTAACATACCTGTTTAAGACATTCCTTTATGGTCCAGACTGTGCCACAGTGGCTAGGGTTCTAGACTTGGAAGGTTGTGGGTTTAAATCTCAGATGAGACACAGCTGTTGTAGCCTGGAGCAAGACACTCCCTCCGAAGTGTTCCAGTGAAATTCCCAGTTATACAAATTGGTAAAAAAAATGCCTGTTGCTTTGGATAAAAGTGTAAACCAAATAATAAAAAAAATCAGACATTGATCTGATTACCTTCTTCTGAATTGATACCAGATCAGCTTATACGCTCTGTCATGTGGTGACCAAAACAAGCATTATTTTGTTATTACTTCAGTAGTAAGAGCCTGTGTTGTCTTATTTATATGCTTGTGTTATTTTATTGAAAGATGAAAAAACTTGCCAGACGACAACAACAGCAGCAAGACCAGCAAGATCAAAGTAACTCCCAAAGACTTCATTCAGGTACATAAAATCGGATTGAAAAACCTCCATTGTTCCAAAGGTGCTTTAGCACAGAGACGTGAGCAAAGACGTGGAAAGGCATGTTCTTTTTATAACCACTTTGTTTTGTACTATACTGTTTCACTGATAATAACAACACCCAAGAATTAAGCGGATTTGTCTTAACTCGCTTGGCTGAGGGCTGACCTCCTAGCCATACAACATGGAGGCCGGGACCCCCATGTGGAGTAAGGAGTGACCAAGGGGCAGCTGGAGAGGTAGAGATGGGCTGGAGGTGGGATGCAAAAGATGTATGTGAGGGAATGAAGGGGAGTCTGTAAGGTGAGGAATTGATGTCAGGAGTCATTACAAATTACTGACAGTTGAGGTTGATCCCTTCCAAATTTTGTTCTGTCTCTAATTTATGCACTTTCATAAACAGTGACCACAAACAGAGTTGTCAACCCTGGCATAGACAGCGGACACCCTTTCTCCGACGTGCAGCAGCAGCAGCATCACATTTTAGCTCTGGAGCAGCAGTCCTACAAGGTGGACCCCTTCCGACAGGGACTTACACCCCCACAGATGCCTGGGGATCACATGCTCCCCTATGGTAACCATTTCTACCATTTCAGCTTTTCACAACTTGACAGTCTGAAGTGCTTTAAGTTTTTTCTAATTCTTTTTTTCACTGCCGTTGAATGCTGATCAATATATCTCTATATTGTCTGCGTCATAGTTAAAGTTCCTATGCCTAATAGTTCAAGGCAGTGTACTGCCTTCGTCTGGTGAATTTGCTCTTTAAGATATTGAGAAGATGTTGTTTCAATATTTCAGTTTTGTTTTTAATTTTTAAAATTGTAAGGTATTTATTCATTGCACAAGTAGGTGCATACACTAGCACTTTGGAAGGCTTTTCTTCAAGGATTTTGTTGACTTGGTTGAATAATAAGATTTTTCATTATGGTGTGTAGAAATAAGTAAAAACAGGTGTGTTTTTATAGAACTGACAAAGACACCTATAAACACCACCCCAAGGCCTTCACTTCTTTATCTCCAGAAAAGTTCAGGAAAAGAGAGAAATTACTTTTAAAAAAGTCTCACCCATGTAATTAATAATAATTGCTCAATTATATTTCTTCTATTCTAGATCTCAGATGGAACCTAAAAAACATATACTGTATTTCTGTGCTGGACAGCATATAAATAATGTAATTTCTTAATTGTCAGCTTACATGTACTGTTTTTCTATATTTTCAGGCAGCGAAGGCCTTTTCAGTGAAATGGACAGTGACACTGCAATTAGTAACATTGGAGATTGTCTTCTGTCTTTGTCTGAGGCAGGACTTGGAGTTTTAAACCCTATTGACCGTCTTTACTCAATGCAAGACTCTTACTTTGCCTCATGAGTCTCTAAAACTCCCACACCTCTGAATTTGCTTCAGGTTATTGAGCAGTGGTTCAGTAGTTCCTAAGCAAGTGGTATGTATGTTTTGTCAGTACTTTATCTAAAAAAAGCAATGCAATGGAGACTTATTACATTTGAAATTCTGCATGGATAAAATACAGTTGTAAAGCACCTCAACATCTTAAACAAAATCTGACATTTAGGTTTGTTATTTATGAAATGTGAATCATGAAAATCATACTGAGATCTAGACATAGGCAAGAAGGACATCAAATGAAAGAGTATGCAATAATAACAACAATAATCATAATAATAATCGGATTATTGGACATAGATACAAAAGTGACAAGACTGTATTAATAAATTAATTTAAGTGTTTGTTACATCTTACACATTTAATTGAAATGCTTTACACACTCAAATATATTGTATTATTGGTTAAGCAATATTATTAAAGCAATTTACAATACAAATTATTATATTATATGTGACACAATTCCTATATAATCCCCCTTTCAATTTCTTTTTTTTTTACCATTTTGACAAACATTGAGCAAAAAAGCACTTATACAAAACGTAATAGGCTATGCATTGAAAAATATTGTACAGTAAGTAGTTTGATTAAGTAACTATTAATACATGTGCACAAAATTCATTATGTGGAGTTGGGGTCCTTTACGGTTTTACCATACAAAACACATCCCTCTATTGATTTACGTTTTTAGAAAAATGAAGCATTGGACACAGAGCTCCTCAATACTCACTGATGTACAGTAACAGAATGTAACACCACCTCAAGTGGACTTGTCAGCACTGAAGCCAAGTCCTTTTTAGCAATGAATGAAGATTTTGTATTGGTCTCCCTTCTGGACTGCAGCAAAAAAAAAACAGATACACTCATTGTAATACAATTAGTCCAACAGACTAATCACCGGGGTGGTCTAAGTGTGGTAGTCTGGATATAAGTGTGCTGAACAGTTCTCCATTTGTAGTGACTCTTTGCAATCTGACCACACAGTGCTACAGTGTAGCATTGATAAAGTCTTGGAACCTCACTTAATGCCCTTCCTGCAAGCTGATCCTGATGTCACAATATTCCAACGGGACAGCACACGTCTTCATGCTGCTCATGGAACAACACCTTACATGTGAGATAAGAATGGGACAGGTCAGCAGTTGCTGGCCTAGTCTCCACAAGTGAGCCACACCAACCAGTTCAGTTCGGTCAACCCCTAATTTGGGTGGAGATGACGCATGATTCAAATGGCTGAGGAGAACAAAGATGAAGCCCTTGAAATACC